GGGGGGGCTGGCACACACCCCCCACCCCCCCCAAACTCACCTTCCATCACCTCTGGATTTTCAGGCAGCTAATCCCATTACTGGCCAGCCAGGAAAACAACAGCACGAAGGCGGCTGTCAGAGCAAATTACACCCTGAGGAAAAACTCTGGGGTACGTCTTCATAAAGCTGACAGGCGGCCGACGGCTGGGAGTAATTGGGAACAGGACGGCAGGGAGAAAGGGAGTGCGGGAGCGGGGGGGCTTGGGGAAGGGGCTCGGAAAGCTGGGGGATGCTGTCAGGGGAGCCCAGCACACCTGCCAACACGCTGCCACGAGCACTGTAAAGCCCCGAAGGGTTTGAGCCTGCGAAACAGGCTCACTGCCATGCCAAAAGCTGTGCTCGCTGCCCTCCTGAATGTGGTGCAGGGTCCGTCCCCGCCGCAGGCCCCGGCAATCACACGGCTGTTTCTAGCAGAAACTGTAAAAATATTTCCAGCCCGGTTAAGGGAGCTGGCTGCCCGCAACAGTCACTTGTCAGGTCAGCTCTCAGCCTCAAGAGCCAGGGCGTAAATGATTATCACGCGGTTAATATTACACTGCACGAGCAACAGCAAACAGGGGAGCCCCCGGCCAGCTCCCGGCTCGGCGCAGGGACTCGGTGGGGACGGGGTGAGCCCTGCTGCCAGGAGAGCGTGGGGCTGCCCACGCAGGGCCCTGCCGGGGATGCATCTGGGATTTCCATCTGTGGGACAGAGTACGGTAGCCCTCACCCGCCTCTCCAACCCCTCCAAGTCCCGGCTACATGGAAAATGTCCTCTGATTTCATCCAGGCACCGTTCCCTCGGACTCCCTGCGTACAGTCTGGCCAAAGTCTCCGCTACCATCTGCTCTTTTCTTCAAGCTTTCCATTAGCGGCAGCACAAGGAAACCTCCTGGCTAAATCCTGCCGGGGAGGGTTTGGTGCATTTTCCTGGCACGGCCCCAGCTGTTTCTGTTGTGGCTATCGAATCCAGCCAGGATCGCTGAGGAAGCAACGCCCGCCGCTTTGGGAAGCTGCCCAGCACCCGTGAGGCATCGTCTCTGCCTGCCAGGGAGATGAGATGCACATCCGTGATGGGGGCTGGTGGGGAGCGTGGGCGCTGCTCAGGGGCTGCTGGTGGGGGACCAGCACCAGGGATCACCTCCCCAGCCCTGCCCTGGCACCGGGCACTCGCCCAGTGGCACCATTTGCCCTGGGCTGGGTCTCGGCTGTCGACACCACACCTTTTATTCCTGGTTAAACATTCACTGGAGGCGAGGTGAAAGGGAAGGGGTGCAACGGTGTTTGTTCTCTCTGTCAGCACGCTGCTCAGCGTGGCCGTGACGTGGTGGTGGCGCAGGGAGGGGAGAGGGGTACAGCTGCTCCGCTCTGCCTTACCCAAGCAAGATGAAGGGTCGGGACAGAGCAAGAGAGAGGAGCTGCAGGTTTGCACACCTCTGTCCCACCAGCACAGGTATCCTTCCCCCAGCAAGCAGCCCCAGGGCACGCCGGCACCTTCCTCACCAGTGCCATGGCCGGAGCCTGCACCAGCAGCTCTCGCTGCACGACAGCCCGGTACGCTGCACTGGCAGGGGGATTTACAGCCCAAATGCTCCTCTGCTTGCTTTCCTGCTGTTCCTCCTCCCTCCAGTATTTACACCCTCTCCAATATTTACACCCTCTCCAATATTTACACCTAGTACCTTAACCTCCCCCCGGGGCCAAGCCAGGGAGAGCCACATGACTGACTTCAGGGAATATCGGAGCCGGTTCTTGGCCCTCGTGGAAACAAGCTGTGCTCACCGCGTCGCTTTTAATATCCCATTTTAAATCACATCTTCCAGCACTTCATCCCTCTTGGCTCCTATTCATTGACTTCCCAGCAAATGCTTTAAATCTGTCTTGCTTCGCTGCCCAGCTGTGCTGCTCCAGCCGCCGGCATGTCAGAGCTGTGCTGCCAGCCACAGCCCTGCTGTCCTGCCACCTCCCTGCATTTTGGGAGCCCCTCCACACTGTGACGGTTGCATCTCCCTTCCCTGCAGGGACTAGCTCAGATGTTGCAGCACAGGGCTGCCCTCACCCTTCCTACCCCCAGCAAGGCCCTCCCCGGTGTTTTTCGTGTGTGCAGCCCGCCGTGCCCCGCTCTTTGTACACTCACCGGTCCCTTTTCTGACTCACTAACGACAGCGCAAGTGATGCGGCCCCGTTTCTGGTGGCATGGGGGCCCTCAGCCTTCTGCTGAGAAGTACCACTGGGTGACAATCCTGCTCCTCCCACAGCTCAGGGCACCCATCACCCAGACTGCCCTCAGAACAGGCTGACCACTGGCACCTCCTGGCAGCTGGTGGGATCTCTGCCCTGCGCCCAGCGAGGAGCAGCAAGGCACGGCTCCCAGGAAAGCCCGCAAGGGTAATTGCCCAGGACAAGTTCACAGGGTTTGGGGGATTTCCAAGCAAAGCTGCATCCACTTTGTTCTCTATTTTCCTCTGTACCCTGGAGAGCATGTCTGCAATCACCAGAGCCCTCCAAGTTTTTTATCCCACTAGCAAGTCCGATCTCAAAAAAAAAAAAAAAAAAAAAATTGACATCCCCAAGGGGAAGGATTTTTTCTGAGACTCAAGTAAAGAAGCATTTTCAGCTCACATACGCCTCCCAAAAATAAATACAAAAATGCAGCAAGGATTAGAGGCCAGAGATGCTCCCTCTGCTCAAACAAAGTGCCACACTGCTGCGTCGGTGTCCCGGTCTCCACACCGACCTGGCTGTGCAGGGACAGCCCTGACGCCTCAGCACACACACAGATAACTCCACATGGGATCCCAAAGCCCTGCTACATCCTTCAGCTTCCCGGACTTAACACCTGACCTGTGGGTACCCACTGTACCTGAGGGGCCACCTTCAGCCTTGAGGGGTGCCCAGCCCCCCCATCACATCGAGGAGGGGGACAGTGAAGAGACATGACTCACCTGGAGCCTGAGCAGCCCGGCTGCCCACTTTGGGGTAGCAGGAAGCTGTGATGGATGCAGGCTTCCCAGCACGCCCATGCACAGCAGAGCTGAATTTTGTCTATTTTTAATTTCATTGCATTCCCCCAATAAAACTCTCATGAGGAAACGAAAATGTAAGCAAAAAAAGAAAGGAGGGGGAAGAAAAAAAAAAAGCCAACCCGAAACCAAAATAAAATCTGGTGGTTGATGGCTGCTGCCTGGGAGCGGGCAGCAGCTGAGGTGCTGTACCCGTATCCCTTCACACCCAGAACTAACCCAGGTATGAGCCATCAGGGCACCGTCTCCCACCCCTGCCACCCCAAATTGCCTCCCTCCCTGTCTCAAGGCCACTGGCTTAACTAGTCCCAGCAGCCCTGCACCAGCTCCCCACCATCCCACCCCGGCCACGTTCTCGGTCTCAGGTGAGGCCCCGGCTGTGCCCGGGTCCCCCCTGCAGCGAGCATCCTGCCCGGGGGCCTGGGGGAGGGAGCCAGCTGCTTGGCCCCCCCCTGCCCCGCATCGAGGGACCGGTGCCCACGGCAGGGATGCTGTTTGGGCTGCTGGGCCAGTCGGGGTGCACGGCACAGGGCCGGAGGAGTGCTGGGGAGGATAATCAACCTGTGCAGACTGTCAGGGAAATTCCCTGCTGCAGGAGATTGCTACAGGCTAGCAAAAAAGCTGGCACATTAATCTCGTTAATTAATCATGGTAAATAAGGGTTGCAAGGAGAGCTGGATTCATGCCCAGGGCTTTGCTGGCAGCTGTGCCAGATCCCAGATGGGCGATGGGGGGACCCCCACCCCCCCCTCCCCCCAGCACTGCTGCTGCTATGTGGGGCAAAGTTTGGCTGCGAGGGCCCAGCTCTCTGCTGCGGCTCAGGGAAGGAGCTGGCAGAGTGACCCCGCTCTGATTTACACAGCGGCCTCGTCCCCTACAGCATCAGAGGGGTCAAGTCTCTATAGAAACCCTGCCAAAACACAAACACAGAGCCCGTTCCCCAACCCCAGGAGCTGCGTGGCCGAGCCCTCCATGTCTGGGAAAAGGCTGCATGTCGCTGGGATCGCTGCCGGGAGAGGGAAAACCAGCAGCTCCTGAGCCCGGAGGATGCCACTGCGGCCCAACGCTGCCCGCGATGCTGCGCAGTGCCCGGGCGAGGGGCGAGGCCGGCGGCTGTGGCCGGTGCCCACCCACCCCACTCCTGCACCGTGACAAGCAGCTCTGGGGCTGAGGCTGCTACAAGGACGTTGCAGCGGGCACCAGGTCCCTGTTTTCCCCAGCAAACGGGGCAGGCGGGGGTGCCTGCGTCCCCAGGGGGGGGGGCCCAGCCATCAGGCAGCCCAAGGGGGCTCTTGCAAGAACCTGCCAGAGGGGATGAGCCAGAGCAGCGGTTCCCAGAACTGGTGTTTGCCTTGGCAGCCCCAGCCCTCGTGCTTTGCTTTCCAGACGCCGAGCTCCTAGGGGGAATATCTGGATGTCTAAAACTAGGCCTGGCAGCGGGGCTGGTATCTGGCTGGGGACATGGCAGCTCCCAGGGGTTGGGCAGGGGGGTGGCCCATGCCCCTGCACTGCATTCCAGCCCCACTGCCACCGGGCTGGGCTTATCCCACTGACAGCCCCGTGGCTGCTCAGCAAGCCCTGGCTGGGGGGAACAGCGTCACCTGCTACGTGACATCCCTCCCTTAGTTTTCCATCCTGCAAAGCTGGGGAGATTCCCATCCCATCCCGTCCCACCCAGTCCTGTCCCATCCCAGCTGCAGGGCCAGCACAGCCTCCTACAAGCCCATCCTGCTCAGAGCCCGGGGAGCAGCCGCGGCTTGTGCTGCACCAAGAGCAGCTCTGGCCTGGGCAGCTCAGGCTCAGCTGGGGCTAAGGCTGCTCTGCCCTGCCCCAGGAGGAGCCAAGCTGGGGCAGGACCATAGCGGCAGGGTCCCCGCACTGTCCCAGGACCAGAGGGATGCTGCGCGGCGCACACAGCTTCCCCCACCTCCTCCCAGAACTGAGCCACTCAACGCATCTCTCAAAACCTTTATTGTCAGCAAATAACAAAAGTCAGCCCCGCAGCAGCACAGGAAGCCTAGAGAGAGCAGGGTGCTGGCACCCCAGGGCTCACCGCCCCAGGGGGTCCCCTGCACCAGCCCCCTCCTTGGCCTCCTGGGCAGCAGTGGGGCTGGGAGTGCACGGGGGGGATGGGTGAGACTGGGGGGGCACATGTCATTCTCCAAAGCGAGGGGAACATTTACAACTGCTTATAAATAAACAACAACACTGAGAAACCTCTGGCTCTGGGAAGCAGGCGGGAGTCCCACTGCCGAGCCCCCAGCCCAATGCGCTCTGCCCTCCAAAGATGGGGGAGCAGCTCGCTCCCCCAGGGCTGTGGCCACCAGGTACCCCCCGCCCCCAGCACAGGCTCCTCCACCGTGGGGGGACCAGGCTGGGAGAGGGGGGACACACCACCAACCCAAACCAGCTGTCAGAGCCGGTTGGGCACCTGCCCGGGTGAACGTACGGGGATGCCCTAGGGGAGCAAGGATGGGGATGCAGTGTGATGCCAGACACTGCAACCCCGGCCCCGGGGAGAGCGAGAGCCAGGGCAGGAAGGGCCAGGAGAAGGGCAGCGCTGCCAGATGGGCCAGAGCCCTCAGGGGACCCACACCATCCCCAGCAGCTGGTGAGGAACAGGACTGGGTGCCCTGACCACCAGCCCCCAGTGCCGTGGGATGCCTGCCTGACTCTATCACCCACCGTGTGTGTGTGGGGGGAAAGCAGGGAGCACCCGCCCGTGGTGGGACTCCTGCCATCACCTTCCCCCCCACTCTCAGCCCCTTCGGGTGCCACCGTCCGTCCCCTGCACATGGTGACATCCCCACACCCGCCCCGCTGCCTCCCGCACTCGGGGGGGGCCGGTGGGGAGGGCTGGGGTGGGCAGAGCGCATTGGGAACTACCAGAGACACCTTCTACCTTTGCCTTTAAACACTGAAGCTTATATTAGAGACTATGATATATAACCTGGGGGAGGGCAAGGCCGTCCTGCCCGAAGTAGAGACAGCAGAGAGAGCACAGCTCCATGGCCAGCCTGGCGAAGGTCTGCTCCGGCCGTGAGCAGGTTAGTACGGGGGCACAGAGCAGGCAGGCGGGCGGGCAGGGGGACGCTGTCTAGGGCTGGTTCTTTGCCTCGGGGTCTTTGTCGTAGATGTAGCTTCCCACAGCTCCGGTGTTCACGCCTGCAATGTGGAGAGGGGGGTGGAGATGGGGGGAAGGTGAGGAGCTGGGCAGGAAGGTGGTATGCTCCGAGGAGATGTCCCCCCAGGCACTCACCCTTTGGCCCGAAGAGGATCCCGTAGCAGGGCTTGTGGCAGTACGGCTGTCCATCGTGCTGTGTGGGGCAGAGAGAGGAGAGAGTGTCACCCGGGGTGGGGGGGCCAGGGACATCGCCCTGGCTGGGCACCTCTCCTGCTCTGCTCATCCCTTGCAGACACCCCAGCACCCCCCCAGGCTGGGAGCCCTGCCCTGCCGTGCTTGCTTCCCCGGGGCTGGGACATCCTTACCTCGGCGTGGCCCCCCGGGGTCAGCGTCTTGCTGCAGCGCTCGCAGCGTAGGCAGGGACGGTGCCAGTCCTTCCCCAGCGAAGTCACCTTCTCAGCTAGAGGGGGGACAAGGAGGGAGGGTCACGCTGGCCCCCCTGAGCACACGCCGAGGGGGAGCGCACCCCGTGGGGACATCACCTCTGCGCACAAAATCCCAAGGCAACCCCACTCAACCCCAGCCTCCCACGTCTCTACTGCCCCACAGGTGACAGAGGGTGGCCGAGGACAGCTATTAAACCCACAGCACCCACCTGGGAGGTGACAGCAGGGGACACGATGCACATGAAGCCCTGCACCCTGGAGCTCCTCCAAGAGGACCCACCCCTGCCGGCTCCTCGGGGGGGCACATCCCTCTGTGCCCCCCAACACCATTTCTGAGCCAAATCCCACTCCCAGCCCCTTTGGACGCCCCAGGGGTCCTGTACAGAACCCCAGCACCACGGGGCCGTGCACACACCCGCTGCCCACTCACCACCTTACCAAAGTAGACTCTCTTGCCGCAGCGTGGACACATGTTGGGCTCCCCGGTGAAGGTGGTGACACTGGAGGCTGGAAGGAGAGAGGGCATGGGTGTGGGAAGCAGAGGGACATCTCAGCCAGGACACGTGGGTGCAGAGGACACCCCCCCTCCAGACACCCTGCACCCCACACCATCACCCAACGCGGTGGGCTCTGGACCGGCTGAACGCCACGGCGGAGGGCCGGGCTGCCCATCCTGCCCTGTCCCTCACCTTTGCTGGGTCCCTTGGGAGGTGCAGAGTTCACCTTCCTCTCCTCCACCTTCACCGGGTGCTCGATGGGTCCCGGAGCCGTCTGCCCCTCGATCTGTGGCTTCTCATAGATGTAGGACCCGGCCCCACCAATGTTCACCCCTGCAGTGGGGCAGAGAGAGGCTGTGATGGCCTGGGAATACTCGGGGTCTCCATCCTCCCCCCAGCCCCCTGTCCCACCTCACCCAGCCCCGCTGAGACACAGGGCCACTGCAGCACCACTGCATCTTGGCCCCGGCTTGCTTTCTCCTGACCCAGGCTTTCCCCAGCTACATCTGTGATAGGAGAGTGACACCACCTTCCGTTTGAATGGGAATTTGTTTTTTAAATATTAAAAAAAAAAAAAAGACAGCTGTCAGGATGAATCACTCCCTCCTTCCCTCTACCAGCTCTCCTCTCCCTCTGCACAAGGAGATGGCAGGGTTGGGATTGCAAAGTGCTGGCTTGATGCTCAGCCCCATGCTAGCCTGGCTCCTGGGGTGCTTTTGGGGCCACAGCTCGCTGCCAGTGGGGATGGGGGTACCTGGCCTCTCCTGCAGCCCTGAGCACGGCCGCACAGGCATGGGTGGAGCACGGACGTACCTTTAGGACCAAACAGCGTGGCGTAGCAGGGCTTGTGGCAGAAGGGTTTCCCATCGTGCTGGGGAGAGAGGGGAGTGTTAGGAAACCGAGCGGTGATTGCAGCTCCCTTGGGATCGCTTCCATCCCCACCGATGTTCAGAGACCACCGTGGCCGTGCCCACACCCCAAAACGCACCCACCGGACACCCTCAGCCTCCGGGTCTGCCAGCGACAGCCTAACCCAGCCTGAGCACTCGAGGGATGTGCCTCCATCGGACCCCCCAGCCACTCCACGCTCTCCGTATCGCTGGGGCCACCGGCATCCCGCGGCTGCTCAGCCGAGAGGCACCTCCGAGCCCCAACCCGGCCTGGCGAGGCATCGCTCTGCCCGTCACGCACCCTCTGCGCTGTCGGGCCATTCCTGGGTGCACAGAGCGCTGCGGCTTTCACTGAGCTTCGCCTCCCCACCCTTCGTCTCCCCCCTTGTCTTGGCCTGAGATCAGAGGCCTCGCGCGGGCACTGGTCCAGCGCAGCTGCTATCGGCCCCGCTATCGGCCAGGGGTGATTATCACAGGAAGGCATGAAGCGGGCGATAAGCCCTAGGACTCTCCACAGCTGTTTCTCACGGGCCAGCGGGAACGGAGTCCACGAGAAAAGCAAGAGTGTTTGTGGCTGGGGCAGGGGGCCAGCGAGGCTCCCACGCACGCCATCCAGCGTGGAAAACACACTGGGACCTCATCCTCGGGCACCAAACCACCCCATCGCCCGCTCGGCTCCACTGAGCATCTCAGCCTCGCTTCACGCCCCGTGCTCCTGCCCTCCATCCCCTCTGCTGCAGGGCAGGGACACCTTGCCCAAAATGGGCAGGGCGGCAGCTGAGCAGGAGCCACGTCCCTTCCCTCGCCCCCCCGAGTGGTGCCGTGCCGAAGGCGAGGGCTGGGGGCGGCGGGGGGAGCGGGCAGGCAGCGGGCTGGCAGCAGGCCACTGCGAGGTATCTCAAGGCATAAATATCAGTTGCGCTCGCAGTGTTACCGTGCCAGAGGGGAGGGTAAACATTTAGCTGGTCTCCCCGTGACACCTTTCCAGCCCAACTGAACACTCTGGCTTGAAAGGAGGGAGAAAAAGCAGAGAAGGGCCAAATCCTGCCATCGGCACAGTCGGTGGGGGCTTGGCTGCTGTCCCCCATGGGAGCAGAATCCGGCCTTATATGGAGAAGCAGCAAATCCCCTGGGCTTAACCCAGCCCGAAGCACAGATCCACCCGCGCAGCCCCATCCTCCCCATCAGGACCAGCCCCATTCCCCCCACAGGCTGGTGGCAACCAGCACGGCTGTCCCTGCCGCCCGCTCCCCAGCTGTGCTGGGTGCTAAAACCACGCTAAAGAGCTGGTGACACTCTGGCGTGACAGGCGCTGCGCAAAACCCAGGGCACCGGGTGTCACGCTGGGGCATTGCACCAGAAAAACACGGTTGCTCCCGGGCCTGAGCACCTCCCACTGCCAGCACAGCACCCTCGTGCACCCAAGTGCTGGGCGGCCGCGGTGGCACCGAGCTCCAGCGCAAGCCCCAGGGCACCGAAAGCATCAGTGCCAAGCTAGCATCTCCACGGCAACCCGCACATCCCCGGTTTTTGGTGTTTTCAACCACAAGCCGGCACAGGCTCTTGGCACCCACACGCCTTCAAAGTCAGCGTGATGCCCAAACAAGCCTGCCCGGTGCACGGAGCTGCTTCAAGTGCTTCCAGGGGTGCGTCGAGCCCTGCCACAGGCTCCCCGGGAGCCCACGCCGGGGTGGCACGGCTGGGGCACCGTGCGTGGTGCCGGCACCTCTCTGTGTCTTGCCCCGGCCTGCGCGCGAGAGCTCTCGAGCACCACAGGTTGCAGCAGCAACAGTATTTGAAGCCACACTGCACTCTCCTGGGCTTGCGTGCCGCAGGGAGAGCCCATCTGCATGGCATCAGGTACCTGCCCCGGCTCGACGGGTGCTGGAGAGCCCACCCCGGCACGGCAGCACAGCACCTCCCACCCCGTCTGCCCCAGCGGCTCTTACCTCGGCGTGCCCACCCGGGGTCAGGGTCTTGTTGCAGCGCTCGCACTTCAGGCAGAACTTGTGCCAGTCCTTGCCCAGGGAGGACACCTTCTCCGCTGCGGGGAACACGAGAGGGGGGTGAGCGACTGCCCCAGTACCTGCTAAATCCCCCGGGGAAGCCAGGCGCCGGGCACCCGGGGGGGGGGGGGGGGCGCTGCACATTGGCGTGCCATGCAGATCAGCCACGCTGCAGGGACGCAGCCCACAGGGTCCCCAGGGCCGCTCAGGCCATGGGCACGGGCCCCCCCCCCAGCCACTGACCCCCCCCAGCACCAGCTCTGCCATCGCACAGACGCCCTTTCCCACGCGCCAGTCCAGCAATGGCAGCGTTTTCCTTTCTACTCTCTGTGCCTATTTTTACCCGCCACGTTACCTGGAATGACCCCGCTCCCAGTTCAAATATTGGGTGTTACCATGCCCACCCCACTCATTTAATCATTACCCCCACACACACACCCAGCCTCTTGGGCTCCCCAGGGAGCCTCGGCCACAGTTCCAGCCCCCAGGACACCCGCCTGCCCCCGGCTGGGATGACAGGCAGCCTCCAGCATCACCAAGGATGGATGCTTGGCCCTGGAAAACATCTATTTCTTGGGTGTGCAGGTGCTCCCCCCTCACCCCCCTGCCCAAGAGCAGGCGTGACGTGCAGGCAGGTACGTGGGCACCATCCCTGCATTGCCCTGGAGCGCCACGAACCTGCAGAGCAACTCACCACCAGCACCAAAAACAGTTTCAAAGCATCAGTGGGCAAATTTAGGGAAGCAAAAATGCTTTGAGACCGGTTACACGAACGCACCTCCTCCAGCTGGCCCCGAGCTGTACGTCTCCAGGAGCACCTCCAGAGGTAGCACAGTCTGCCAGTCCTCATCCTGCATCCCCAGCCTCACACTGTCCCCCCCCTCCCTCCCAGCTCCTGGGGGGCCAGGCGCTGCCCTGTGCCCCCCACCGATTCCTGTTCACCCTCCCTCTCGCCTGCACATGTGCGGAGACAGCTGGAAAACAGTGTGATCCCGTTAAAGCCACCGTAAAACTAAATCAGAAGAGCCAAATAAAATATTTAACAAGCAAATAAAAGCGTAACCGGAGCCTGGCCCTGCTTTACAAGAAGACCTCCTCTGCGGTGGCGGGTTCCGCCCCCCAGGACCTCAGCAAATGTCACCTGTTTGCATCAGGTCAAGACGGGGGTCAAGAGCTCCCCAAGGGCAGGTCCTGGCTTCCAGAGCCACCCTCCTCCCAAGGCAAACAGCTGTGTCCGGGGCATGCCGCAGGGCCAAGACAACTGCCATCACCAGCCAAAAAACCAGCCCCGGAGCAAAGCAGGGTGGTGGGTGGCAAAGGCAGCACGAGGGGGCAGAGCTGGAGCCGTCGCACCAGGGTGCAGGGGAGAGCCCCGAGGCATCCCCAAGCAAGCAGGCGGAACGCAGGCTTGGGGGACCAGCATCAGCTGGAATCAGCTCCGAACCGACCTCCCAGTGATGCCACGCACGAGTCCAGGCTGTTGGGCCAGACCCCAGGCGGGAGCGGATGGCAGGGTGATGGGGTGCCCTGCCGCAGGCAGGGGTCTGTGCCTGCCTGCTCAAACCTGCCAGGACAAATCCCTGCTGCCCCGGGGCTCAGGAGGGCTCGTGCTTCCCCAGCCCCTCGCAGCGGGCAGCCCACGGGGAAGGGGCCAGGGCCTGACCCTGCCCTCCCCTTCCCCTGTGGCCACCCCTGGGGGCAGAGGACCAGCCCCCAGGGCACACAGCCCCCTCAAGCGCTCCCCAAAAGTGAGGGGGACACAGAGGTCTCAGCACCCTGCTGCCTTGGGGGTGTTGCTGGAGCCCTGCATACCCCCCCCCAGCCCTCCCCAGAAGGAGCGGGTGCCTCCCCGGGGCGACCAGGGAGGGAAATAGAGCGTGATGGGCTGAAAGCTGAGCCAGGGGCTTGGGGCCAAAGAGCCGCTGGGCTTTGTCACAGCGGATGCACAGCCAGGCCAGGCTGTGCTTCGGCTGCGTCACCCCCCGGCTCCCCCCCCGCTGCCCCGGCCCCGGGTACAAAGCAAGGAGGAAACTCCCGGCGGATGTTTTCCAGAGGCCATTGCAATTACAGCAGGCCATGGCCCACACCAGCTCCTTCCTGCCCCGACGAGAGGAGACGCTCCCCCAATGTTCCCCCCCGCACTGTAATATTTCAGGCAGCTCTAAATCCCTGCTGCTCCCTGATGAATGCACCCCCCCACCATGCAGAGCAAGAGCGACCTCGCTGACACCCGCAGCCCCTGGCAGGAGGTGGCCCGGTGCAGTGTCCCGCTCCCAGGGCAGGGGGACAGCCCAGGAACCGTGGGGGCTGCCCCTTGCCCATGGGTGGAAATGCCACGCAGAGGCTGATCAGGCATCCTCTGGCCGCAAACAAGGGCTCCCAGGGGCCGCGGCCGGGGCCGGCACAGCTTTCCAGGCAGCATTGTTCACGCTGAGCGGAGGAAGCAGCTTGGAGCCACCCCAGCCCATTTCCAGGGCAGCGGCGTCCCGCCCGGGGCCACGCTTGCCCCATAAATCACTGCGGAGGGAGAGCACCAGCGCCCAGATTTCCTGTCACCCGGCCACATCTGCTCCCCCGTCGCATCAGCTCCAGAGGAGAAGTCTCTGGCCACGTCCTCCCGCCGCGGCAGAGAGCCCCGGGGAGCCCCTGCTCTGCACCCCCCCCCGATTCTGGGAGGGCACCCCCACCATGAGCACTGCAAGAGCAGCCGGGGCAGAAGCGGTGCCTGGGAACCATCCAGCCCTGTGCAGGGAGTGCGGGATGGCGCAGGGCTCCGGCTTTGCTCGGCCAGACATCACACTGCACCCAGCCCCTGCCACCGAGCGCCGTGCCCCGCCGCGCTGGGAGGGGACCGGGCAGAGCCAGCGTCCCCCCTCAAACATAAACCGGCTGTGCAGCACCCTCCAGGAAGGGCAGAGTTAAGGGTACTCGGCTGCAGGAATTCGGCCTCTGCTAAACGTGCGTGACATGAGGTTTGCCTGTCCTGGGTTACCCTCCTCGCTGTGGGTGGGCACCAGGTGCCCATCGATAATTTCCAAGGGGAAATGCCCCCGCAGAGGAGAGGCGGAGGCAGGGCTGGGTACAAGGCCAGCTGCAGGACGTAGCCGCGGGGTGGATCTGCACCGCGCAGGGGGTTGCGGCCCATGCTGACGAGGGATGCAGCCAGAGCCAGGGAAAATCAGAGCCCAGGAGCCTGAAAGCACCCAAGGGGGCTGCCGAGGCAGCCTGCTCCCCGCGGCAGCCCCACCCCAGAGACAACGCGGCTCACCCCTTAATTACCCGCCGTGCCTGGGCAAGGCAGCTGGCACGGGCCAGAGGTGGGTGCATCTTTTTGGGGTGGGGAGGGAGCATCCCTCCTCCCAACCTCAGCGTCGGGGGCCGTGCCAAGCCGGCTCTGGGCCCTCGCACAGGTATTTCCACGGCCTGACGTCAGCGCTGCTTCCAGCCGGAGGCTTATTCAGCAAAAGCAACCATAGCTGCAGCCGCGTCTCTGCAAAGGGCTGGGCTGTGCCCCATCCATCCCACTGCAGCCCTGGGAGGACGCGGGGAAGGGCTGACAAAGCCCAATCAGGTGATAAAGATGGCAAATCCCCCCAGGGAGCCAGTGACAGGCATCTCTGGAGGAAAGGGATGCTGTGGGACCGACCGCAGATGCGCTTCAAAGCAGTCGCAGGCACAAAGGAGTGAATAAAAGGGATGAACACAGGGAAAGGAGCCTGGTAAATGGCTGGAAACAAAGCTGAGAGCCCAGGCAGCCGGCAGCTCGTCCCCTCCCCAGCTCCTCACAGTGTGGCCAGGAGCTGGAAAAGGCGGAGGGGCAGCTGGAGGATTTCCTGCCGTGCCGTGCCGGGTGGTGCCACCAGCCGTGGTGCCCCGTCGGTCCCCCGGGAAGGCTCTGCGCTGCCTTCCCACGTCCCCCACCCCATCCCCTCCTGCCCTCCCTGGGCATGGCCAGGCAGCTCCTCTCCCCCATCTCACAGCTGGTGCCGACGGTTACGCCGCACTGTGATTTTGTGGCCAAGATGTATATATTTAGCTCCCCCGCAGCAAGGCGAGGCAAGCCCTCCAGGCCTGAGCCGCTCGCTTGCTGGGCTCCCTCCAAGCGCACAACAAAGCCAGCTCAGAACCGCCTCGCCAGGGAGTGCAGCCGGGGTGGGGGAACGAGGAATACCCCAGGCAGGGGGTCCCACTTCCCAGGGCCTTGCTTCCAGCCGAGCAGGGAGGCAAGATCTTCCCCAAAACCCGAGCCCCCACGTAGGCGAGCCACTCGGGCACGAGCGAGGGTTGTTTGATTTCCAGCTGCAGCCCTAACGCACGGTGTGGCTCCCATCCACCCCGCCGCTCCCTCCCGACAAAACTTCACCTACTGCAGGCACTTTCCTGGCCGCGAGCCTTCAACCTCCCGCTCTGGTTCACGAGGCCAGGGGAGCCCTCCAGCAAGTCCCTCTCCATTTTCCACAGGGCTGCAGTACTTCACCAAGCAGAGCCCCCGTGGGACGCCTCCCCCCAGCCCCCAGGCCAGGTGGCCTGACCGTGGCTGCGCTGGGAGAGCATCACCAGTGCTTCTTGCCCGAGCTGAGCCCAAGAAACCAGCTGCTTCCTTGCTGCGGCGCAGACCCACAGGCGAGGCGTTGCAGGCAGGACACCCAGCCAGCCCGCAGCCCTCCTCTCGCCCTGCAGCACGGTGAGGGGCAGAGCGGCCAGCGGAGAGCCCTTTGGCGAGAGCCAAACCCCTCCCTGGGTAATCGCTGGTCCAAGAGCCGTGCTGCTCCTGTGCGCTGAGATGCCATCTCCGGCGGGCAGCGCTGGGAGGATGAGACAGTTTCCTGGCCCGTGGCGGCGAGGGCAGGACTCAGAGACGTGCTGGAGCAGCCAAGCCTGTCTCAGTGCCCCTCCGGCCCCACGGCTCCTCACCTCCCCACCCTCCCGGCTCCCCGCAGCCACGGGGCACAACCAGCTCCAAGCAAGTTTTGGCCCAGGGCTGTGGGCAACACAATTGTGAACAGAGATGGAGAGGGTGCTTGGCACCTCCCTGGGGGGCAGCAGCACCAGGGCTCCCCACCAGCAAGCGCACGGCAGGCTGGTGGGAGAGCTCTCCCCACCCACATGCCAGGACTTGCCCCCCACCATCATCGCCCCCCTGGTTGCTTCAAGGGCTCCCAGCCCACTGGCAGGAGTGATGGGTACCACCGCCCCCTCAGAGCCCAAAGCAGCACCCCAGCACACGCTCCAGGCTCCGTATTTGATTGCAACATCAGAGTGACAGATTTTCCATTACCTCTCGCTTGGGCGTTCCTGCTCAACCTTTCCTTTCCAGTCCCACCACCTCACCTCTCCCCATCCCCATGCTCCTGCCAGGGACAGTGCGGGAGGATGGAAACACAAGGAGCTCTGCCCGAGACCTGCCTGGGACCTGAGATACGGGTGCAGAGCTCCACAAACCAGGCACCAAATGGAGTCACTCAGGACCAGCCGGGCTTGCAGAGCGCTGCCTGCCAGCCCCAAGCCTCCAGCACCCACGGCCCCGGCAGCGGGCTGGCGGCACCGGGAGAGCAGGGCACCGGGGCTGGCCAGCACAAAACCCCAGCACAAGCCCTGTGGGCACATCCACGCAGACCCCTGTGTTCCACAGCAGCTGAGCCCCAGCTCCCTGCAAGGCAGGCAAACCGCCCATGGACGTACACACGAGATGTTGGTGCCGCACCGTGCGGGCGCCCCGGCAGCTCCAGCAAAGCGTGTGTGCTTCACAGCGTGCGGGAGCAAGGAGGCCGAGACCTCACACCGTCCCATCCCACCCTCCCACAGATAATTTTCTATAGCTCACTCTATTTTCCTGCAGGAAAAGTTAATGCTAATCAGCCGGTCCTTCAGCTCCCCACAGAGGCATTCCTCCCCCCCCCCCCCCCGGCAAGGCCCTGCGTGGGGAGCAGGGAACTGGTGCATCCTTAGTTACTGTTCTACGAGGTCCCCGCACGCCGCCCCGAGCCATCGGAGCAGGCAGTTATCCACAGAGCCCAGCCAGCCTTCGTGCTGGCAAGCCAGGGGCCGCGCCGATGCTACGCTGGCTGCACTTGGAGAGCTGCTTCCCCTTTGTGAGGGACAGTCGTAATCGAAATCAAGCCCGCCCGCCTCTCCTGCCCGGCCGCTGGCCGGCCACAGTCTCCCAACAGCCAGTGCCCAGAGCCAAGGACAGCGGTTACTTATTAATTGCAGAGCGGCTTCTGCAGCTTGAATTGCTGCTGGGCTGACCCACCGGCGCGGTGCTCGGCAGGGAGAGCACCCCACACCTCGCTGCACCCCGGGTCTTGCTGCACCCCTCTCCTCTGGCACGCCTGGGACGTCAGTGTGACGGTGGGGTCTGGCACCTGCCGCGGGCCCCCCCGAGCGTGCGAGGCTTGGATCCTCCTTGCTTCCCGGCTGGATGCGCCCATGTCCTTAATGCCCCCCCCCAGCTTTGCTGCTCCGGTTGCAGACACAGCCGGGACAAGCCCCGGGGCTACTGGGGGACTCCTACATGCTTTTAGGAGGCCCCTTCCCAAACAAACAGTGCAGCAGCCTCTCACGGGCCCTCCGACACCCCAGCACGTGCTGAGAGCTCCCCGAAAGCCGCCCGCCGGCAGGCCCCGCCGCGCGCGTGCTTGCCGCATCCCCCGGGGCTTTCTCCTGCCTCGCGCCTGGGATGGGAAAAACAGGAAACCTCCCGCCGCTGCCTCCGCGATCCCCCGCAGTTCCCTGGGAAAAGAGTTCGGGAGGCAGGAAGGCTTGGCCAGGGCTCCCGGAGACCCTGCAAAACTCATTTAAGGCTAGTGATGCAACAGGGTGCTGCGGGAACGTGCGGCTGCTTGGCTTCGGGTGACTCTGGTCCCTCTGGCGCTTCCTGCCTGAAGAGATAACGCAACCCCAACCCCAACCCCAACCCCAACCCCAACCCCAACCCCAACCCCAACCCCAACCCAACCTCAACCCCAACCCCAACCCCAACCCAACCCCAACCTGCCAGCGCGGGATGGGAACCAGCCCCGGCAGCCGCCCTCAGTGCTGCCTCGCCGGTTAAACATTCACTTCATCCCTCCAACCTCCCCAAAGCAGGAAAGTTAGCCCCAGCTGGTCCTGGAAACAATGTCACAGACCTCAGCCTGCTTTAGAAATAAAAATAGAAAAAAAAAGCCAGAAAACTATTTTTATATTTCCCTGTGCTTTTTAAAGGAAAAAAGCTCATTCTGTAGCTCAGGAAACGCCCACATCCTCCTGACTGCGCAGGGAGGAGCCCGTTGGATTTTTCCAGGGAGCATGAAGCAACAGGCAGGCTAGAAATGAGTTTTCCATCGGTACCCACGACTGTTGGCGCTGGTCAGCCGCTCAGGCACTGCGCGGAGCCGGGAACGGAACGCGGTGGCATTTCTCACACATGACCCACGGCTGCAATCCCAGGCATTCGAGAAGTTATAGTTGACAGCGTTCATTCAGCACAGGCGGGGAGCGCTCCCGAACAAGCGGGGCTTTATGAACCACCTCCCCGTCAAGCTTCGGGCCAGCCGAGGAATTCAGAAGCGTTCCCAAACCCCAGGCACAGCGTTCCCACCGCCTTCCCGCCCAACCACGCGGTCCGTCGGGAGGAAACCCCGGGAGCTGCGTCCCGGAAAGGCGGCTCAGAGGTTGCATCCAGTTCCTGTGCATTAAATAAACGGAGCCCGGTTTGTTCTGCCAGAGCCTGGGTGGCTCCTCGAGGAAAAGTTTGAGGCGTCAGCAAGGACACGCTCCTGCCTATCTTGGCTCCAGGCACAGAGAAGCTTTTGGCTCGCTCCCGTTTCAGCTCACCCCCTCCTCCCCGTCTCTCTTCGGGGCAGCGTGGTCCCTGCGAGGTGTGTGATGGGGGCTGCCACCCCTCCCCTGCTTCAGGGCACCTGCCTCCTCCTTGCCTGCAAGGCAAGGCGTCCCCCAGGGGGGCAGGAACGGGGAAGCCAAGGAGCAGCAGGGACCTGGACACAGACCACTACCCCTACAGAAACCCACCAGGGAGAGAGCGCCAGCACGAAGGTGGGGACATGGGGGACAGCACTGTCGTGTCCCCCCCTGCCAGACCACATTCCTGAGAGACCCACAAATCCCCCAGCACACGGGGAGAGAGAAAGAGCGTGGGCACTGCTGGCTGCTGGCACTTCACCTCCTGGTACAGCCTGGCCTCCTCCGGCAGCAAGGTGGGGGTCCCTGAGCCCAGCCCCAGCCCCCCCTGCACAGAGCAGGCTCGTCCCCGGGACAACTCTGACCCCGGGCCAGTGCCCAGCTGGCTGGCCGGACAGGCTATTTTCTGCTTAAAAAGGAAAAGATTCACACAGGGAAAGACATCCAAGGGGCCAAGCCCTTCCCACCCCCACACAAATAGATTTATTTAAAGGAGGAAGACAGCAAATTCCTATTTCTCCGTGTTTACTTGGAGATGGCCGGAAAGGAATGAAAGCACCAAAGCCTCAAACACTCAGGCACCATTAGGACCCCTTGGTTTTCCTCCACCAAACAAACACGCTGAGGCAGCAGAGGCTGGACCCTGGAGCACGGGAGGGAGACGGGCAGGGAGGGGGGGCGGGCAGGCAGTGCTGGGCAAGGCCAGCCAGCCCCCATGGCCAGCAGGTCCCAGGGGGCAGCTTGGGATGGAGTGCAGGGTCTGTCCCCAGAGCCACCCTGAGCCTGCACTGCGGCCCCGAGGGTGCCCACCCCGAGGGTGCCCACCCCGAGAGATGCCCACCCCGAGGGTGCCCACCCCAGGGCCAAGGGGGTCAGGTCACTCCCCGGGAGGCACAGGGGTGAAGCGGGCCGCGGCAGGCTGCTCGGGGAGCGGCGGCGAAACACCGAGGTAGGGGATCAGCCCTCGCTCCCACCTCCGCCCCCGGCATTTTCTGCAACCTGGGAGGCGGCGACACCCCGGGCTGCCCGACGGGAGACACCCCAACCCCGGTTCCCAGAGATCCTGACCAGCCACAACGCCAAGCAGAGCCCTCGGGGACCTGCAGGGACTCGTCGCTGCCCAAACCCAGCCCAGGCACGCCAAGGTGGACCACGGAGCCCAGACGCTGCCCTTTGAAAAAGTCCCGTAGGAACCCCAAAGCATTCATTAGCTCCCCGAGCCGGGAAGAGCCCGCAGAGGGCTGGGAGAGAGGCGAGATGGGGCGGGGTGAGCGGCACACCTGGAGCGAGGTTTGCAGGGAATGGGAACAAATTGGCTGGGAGAAGGTTTTGTTTGCACCTGCCACCGCCTGCTCCTCCGCACCGGGAGACCCCCCCCCCCGGCTCATAGGAGCCCCCTGCCCAGCACGCCGTCCGTGTCAGATGGGTTGGGTTCCCCTATGACCCAAGGACATTAACCCCCCCCTCCCCTCCCCAGCACCAAAGCAGGCTGTGGGCACGCACCCCAGCCCAGGCTCCTCACCCCCTGCTTCACCTCCTCAGCCCACGGAGCAGGAGGGGGTGCCCCAGACCCCATCACACTCCCTCCACCCACAGCCCACCTCCTTCCCCCGTGTCCCCTGCCCCAGGGTCAGCCGGCAGCATCCCCCGGCCCAGCCTGGGGTGGAGGGGGGGGGGGGGATCGGGGGGCAGAGCAGGGGGGTGACGGCCGCTGCGAGGGGGGCCCGGGGGGAGCCGCAGCCGCTGCCGGGCAGGTCTCCCAGGGCAGCGGGGCCCCGGGGATGATGTCCCGGGCTTGGGGACACAGCCCGGCGCCGGGCGGGAGAAGCGGAGCCGGAGATGCAGCGGGGACTTGGGGAAGGAGAGGGGGGGGGGATCCCGGGGACGCGCCCCGGCTCGGGGAAGGGGGATGAAGGGGCCGGGCCGGCGGGGGATGCGCTCACCGAAATACACGGTCTTGTCGCACTTGGGGCACTTGGATGCCATGGCGGGAGAGCGGAGCCGAGCCGTGCCGTGCCGTGCCGAGCCGTGCGCCCCGCTCCGCCCGGCCCCCGCCCACTGGCCCCGCCGCCGCCCCGGGGGGGGCCGGGGCGGGGCTGGGCGGAGCGGGGAGTCTGCCCAGTATGGCACGGCACGGCACGGCTCGGTATGGCACGGCTCGGCTCGGTATGGCACGGCTCGGCTCGGTATGGCACGGCTCGGCTCGGCAGGTGCACGGTGCCGGCCGGCGGGGTCCCCGCCCGGGGCTGCTGTTCCCCATCTCCGAAAGCCCAAAGGATGCAAGCGCTCACGCAACCCCTTTCCTGGGAAAAAGAGAAAAAGGAAAAAAATAAAAATATATAATAATAAAAAAAAATAATAAAGAAAAAGGTTGCAATTAAGCACTGCGAGCTGGGGGGTTTTAGCAGCTCCGTGCCCGGTCCCCTCCCAGCTCATGCCCAAGCAGTCCCGCATCCCTGTGGGCTGGCACCGACCCCCGGGGCCAGCAGGTCCCATGGCCACCGACCCCCAGCCCCAGAGCCCGGGTGAGAAGAGGAGCAAGTGCAACAGCCATCGTGCCTGCTCTTCTAGGGACAGCTAAGGGACACTTAGGCCCCACTTTTAGGGACAGGGGAGCACCTCGCGGGGGTCCTTTCAAACTCTGCACGCACGCACACAGGGCTGGCCAAGGAGATGGACTGTGCAGCTGCAGCGGGGCGCACGGCCGGGTGCCCTGGTCATTCGTGGTGGCAGACCCGTGTCTGAGGAAGCCCAGCACCAAAGGCACTGGCCGAGTGACCACCGGCTCATCCTGACAGCAGCAGCCGCCCGCAGAGAGCCCGGCCCCCCCGGAGCGCTCACGGCCACGGCCATGCAGGAGCTGGCTTGGTGGGCTGGCGGCACGACCGGAGGGGGTGGGCAGCAGCCCCCCGCCCCGGGAAGCATCGTGCCTGCGCTGGGTATTCTTAGACACATTTTTTCCAGATGGGGTAACTGAGAAACCCAGATTAAGTAGCCAGGACAACAGGCCTGATATGGGAGACCTTGGCGGGGGGACGAGGGCGAGAGGCTCTGGGGGAGCAGCGATAACAGTGATGGCCGGTGGGTGAGTGGAGGGAGGAAGACACATCTCCTGGCAGCCTTGCTAGCGCGGCACGGCACAGCAAGGCACGGCTCGGCACAGGCACGCCATGGCCCTGGGGTGTTGAGGGTGCTGGTCCTGGTGCCAGCCCCAGCAGAGGGGCTCCGGCATCTCCCATCCCAGCCGCAGGGTGAGCCCCGGCACCCTCAGCCCTTTCCCCCCATGACCCCGCTCCGGCAGCGCAGCGCAGGCTGCCTTGCCACAGCGCCCAGCAGCACCCCCCCCCGCCCCGGTTCCCGGCGCCATTTTGCTCCGTTGCCATGGAAACGCCCATGTCAAAAATCCCTCCGGCTGCAAAGGGATGCTCGGGGAGCCGTGAAGCAATGCCGAGACGGGAGCGCCGGCTTCGCCCACTCCAAAACGTACCCCATGGTGGGGAGCAGGCCCCCGGCACCAGGGGAAGCCCCCCTGTGCTCGGATGGCCGGATCCTGCACCACAGGCCTGCAGCGGGTGCACGGGAGGGGGCTGTCCAGGGGAAGGGAGGGGGGCGGCAGGGCCCTTGGCTGGGGTGCTCCAGGGGCTGCACCCCTGCACCGCCACCCCGCAGGCTCAGGCCCGGCGTTGGTAAACAGGAAATCTGCTTCTCCCGAAAGCGAAGCTGTTGCATTATTCATCAGCCGGCAGCCCAGCTCTCCTCCGTCGCCATTGTCATCTAATTCCTCCTTTCTCTGGCTGGCAGCTGGCACGGCTGCCAAGCGCCCGCCCGGCCCCGGGCATGGGGACACCCCTGGGAAGGGAACCCAGGGCCCTGGCACGGGACGGGGTGACCCCAGCCCTGGGGCTGGACGGGACGGGGACGCTTGACAGCAAGTTTCTCCATCGGCCGCGCCACCCCGCTGGGTCGGGAGGACCCAGGCGTCCCCGTCACTCCGCGTCCAGCTGCTGTCACAACAATGTGGCCCTTTGTGGGGTCCCCGTGCAGGGGGCAGGTGCTGGTGGTGCCCCCGGGACGCCCCGGCCCCGCACGGAGTCCTGCGAGCCCCAGGATGGAGCCGGCGCGCCCAGGCCCCGGCCGGCAGCCACCCCCGGCGCCGGCAGCGCCAGGGCAAGGCAGGACCTGGGGATTTGTGGAGCTATTGATTTCTGGGAGGCCAGCTGCCTCCGCCGGCACAGCCCCACGGGTGCTCCTGTGGGTGCCTCTGCAGTGCCCCGTGTGTCTGTTGCCCCAAAGCACCCCGTGGCAGCAGGCAGGTGCCGGCACAGCATCAGTAGCATCATCGCTGCACCCGCAGCGGCTCCTCTCCCGTTCTGCGAGGGACATCCTGAAAAGGGGCTGCTGTCTAAATCCTCTGGACCCATAGCAAATCTCAGCTGGTGTCCCAACCTTGGGGGCTGGGGGGGAAGGAGGAGGAGGAAGGAGGCTGCATCCACCTGAGAGTGCGTGGAACAGCCATGGGTGAAACCCCCAGCTCGGCCGTGCTGAGGAACCAGCACCCAGCCAGGCTCTCGCCTGCCAAGGGGCCTCACGCATAGAGGCTGGGGGGAATTCAGACAAATCACCTCAAGGCGTGAATCCCTGCCTGCAAACACGCTAAACCCCAAGCAGATACGCTCGTTCGGGAGCAAAGTGGCTTTAACTGGGTTGTGTCTTAATGTTCTCCGGTTCGGGCTTGGCGTGCTCCCGCACCGAGGGCAGGGCTGTCCCAGGGCCACGGGGACAGTGGCAGGGGTGACTCAGGTGGCAGCGGCTGAGCCAGCGGGGATGGCAGAGCTTCTCTGGGGGGCACGCAGGATGCGTGCAGCGGCACAGTGGCAGGGGGGACATCCCTGACCCCGCTGTGCCGCATCCCCAGGCAGCCGCATTAACGCCCAGCCTGGAGACACATCTGCCACCACACTGAGACCAGGAGGCACAGGCTGGGGGCCGGCCTGGGGTGCTGTCACTGGCGTCGCCTTTGGCGAATTATTCATTTTACGTCAGGAATTTGGGGGCTGAGCAGGGGTTTTGCTGGCAGTGGGCACCAAAGCCGCCTTTCAGCAGCCGGGGCAGAGGACAGCAGCGTAGCCCACAGCAACGCCGGGGGATGTCCCCACTGAGGGCACTGTCCCCTTGGCCCTCGCCCCGCAGCAGCGTGTGACCCGTTTTCCTCCAGTGGAGCCCAGCCCCACGCAGCCTCGGGGTTTCCTGAGCCGCTGTGACCAGCTGGCTGCCCTGGCCCCGCACATACCACATCGCAGGGCGCTGCTGTTTGAGCTTCGCTGCTCTGGCCAAGCCTGTAATTACCCACTTAGGGGTCTCGGGGGCCTGGTGGGGCTTTCCCCCACGGGGCACCTGGCAGCCTGGCATCCCCCTCCTTAATAAAGTGGGGACCATGCAGTCAGGGCTTTATAACGCCCTACACGGAGCTGAGCAGGAGCTGAGTCCCTGCAGCACCCCCCTTCCTGGGTGGGACTGAGACCGTAGCAAGCCCAGATCCTAAAGCTGGTGCCAGCACACACAGCCAGCCCCTGGGCAGCAGCAACTGCCCCTGGGCCCAAGGGGGGCTGCGAGATGGGGGGCTGGGGGTGTCTTTTGCTGAGTGTGCCAGGCTGGCCCCGGCCCTGAAGCAGGGATCCCCTCCAGCAGGAGCCTCCAAAAGGCTCAAGGCTGTTTGGGACCTCTGCCTAGGGCAGGTCAACCAGAGAGCTTTGCAGGGAGATTAAGGGAAAGTAAAGAATAAATAAGGAATAACTCCCCGCCAGGGTGCTTCTCCTTTGGCTCACCTCCCTCCCCCTCCCCATGGCTCCTTCTTCTTCCTTCAGACGCAAATACCACAAAAACTCACACACCCAGACAGGGCTGCTCACACGGAGAGCTGGGACTGGAAAGCCTCCCCCTGCTCACCTCTGCTTGCGTCTCATGTTTTGCGGCACCTAGGATCAGTCAGATTTGTTATAGGTCAAGAAGAGACTCAGGGCGGAAAATATCCAATAAAGAAGGTTAAGGGAAAAAACCCCATTGCTGGCTGGGTTTGCCCCGAGGACGGTTGTCCGTGCACGGCCTGCAGACCCTCGGCTGGTGCATCATGTGCACCCATACACCCACCCTCTCCGCCCCCCGTGTGAAGGTCCCCCCAGGGTGACACGCTGGGTCTTTCTGTCACCCCTAAAGCTTCCCGACCCCCGGATGCAGCCCGCGGCCGGGTGCTCGTGGTGACAAACGGCAGAGCAGCCGGCTGCTGCCACCGGCCATGGTGAGCGACGGCCGCCCCAGCGCTGCCTCGCTCCTCGCCGTTTGGCAGGAGCTTCGTGGCAAAACTGGTCGGGCTCCCATCCGTGCCCTGGGAGCGGTTCCTGGCAGGTGCTCAGGGATGTGACAGAAGAGCCTTTCACAAAACCAGGCAAAATATTTCTTTTTTTTTTTTTTTTTTAATTTTCCTTCTTTCTGCACTGCTCACCTGGATGTGCGGCGCCCACCGGCCCGGAGCTGGCCACGCAAAGCCGGGCTGTGCAAGAGGGCGAGCAGGACAGCACACTGCCTGGAGCAGGGGGAAACCTGCTCCCCAACACGGGGACCCGCGGGGCTGGCAGCCACATGCAGCGGGGACACAGCCTTGGTGCCGAAGGGTGGCCGCAGGATAAGCACGCAGCTCGGAAAGGGGACCCTCAGAAAGGATTAGCAAGAGAGGGGAAGACGGAGGATCAGAGCAAGAGCGTGCCGAGGAGCTGGCAGGAGCTGGGTCTCGTCAGGCAGCACATGCCGCTGGCCAGGGCTTGGCACGTCACCGCCTGGCCCCGGCGCCCACTATCGGGAGCTCCAACCATCCACTTGTTGCTCTTCTCCTTTAAAAGGCATCCGAACCCCCCGCCGTTATCAGGCAGGGCAGATAGCACTGTCACGCCTACGATAAGCGGGTTTACGGACATCTCGCTTGTCCTTGCAAGCGGGAACGGGTGTCCCCATCGTCCCCACATCCCCTTCCCCAGGGGCCGGGGCTGCCAGGCTGCCCAGGGCCGCTGAGCATCCCGGCAGGCTGCACGCGGGCACC